AGTAAATTTTTATTATGCAAAATACAAAGGATACTCCAACCGATATACAAATTTATACTTCAGCCAACAAAATACAAACAAGCATAAATTACTCTCCCAGCAACCTTAACCAAAACCCAAAAACATGTGATCTGGACCGAACCCATCATACCCTCCCATTTTTATGCAGATGAAATTCCTTCAACAGCCTTTTGTTTGTCCTTATAGCTGCCGCAGTCTCAAGCGGACAAACCTTCCAATCATAAAACGGAAAAACACATCCTTGCACTTTACTCTTAATCCAGAAAAAAGACTTGGCCTGTATGCCGTCTTATTGTTGACCGGACCATTTTGTTCAGTGGAATCTGTTGAGGATATGTCTGCAGGTTGACGTTCTTGCCTCATCTGCAATGTTCAGACTGAAGTCTAATTGGTTCACAGGAGATTTAGCGCGCCAATACTCAACTCCTGATTTTGTAAATATCGGCTGATATTTGTTGCTTTACATTAAGGATACGTAGAATTAATATTACTTCTATTGAAATTGCACATGACACCAATAAAAATTTGACTGGATTACTATTTATTAGTTTAAAAGTTTTAATTTATGATTAAGATTAGATGTTGAAACTTTTGTGATTGTTAATCCTGCTACGTGGAAATAAAAATAAAAAGTATGCAAGGCATTATATTCAAAATATTTATCTAAAGCATAAGAACCAAAAACCTTAAACTCTAATTAATTAATTTTCTACTTACTTTTCCTATATAGAAAGAAAACATCCAAAAAGATGAGGAGATCAAATTCAAAGATTTATTCTTTTTCACAAATTAATGCAAGCAGTATATAAATTATATTCACCATATATGAAAAAAAACTTTTGATTAGATAGCTCTGAAGAAAAATATGAATTATTGTGAGAGAAAAAGGAATAGTCCAAAATGATTAATAACAAATTAAAAACGTACACTTCCATTGATGGATTGTCTGTTTTCTTCATCTTCACCGCCGTCAGAGAAACTAGTGGTTTTTGAATCAATTTTAAAAACACCACATTCCTAGGTGACAAACAAAAAAACATGAGAGAGAGAGGTGGTGATCGTCGGGGCCGGGAAAGAAGGACGGTACAAAGTATTGAGCATGTAAGATCCAACAGAAGATTTCAACAGAGATGGACTGAAACAGTGGAACAGAGGAGAACAGATTATGCCCAGGAGCAACAACAGAAGCAGAGGATAGGAGGAACATACGACAGGGGCTTGTACAAACAAGCCACACCTTATTTCTTCACAAATTTCCCAGATGAATGGTGTTATGCAGATATGTGGAGAACTTTTTTGAAGTTTGGAAGAGTGTTTGACATTTACTGTCCAAATAGGAAAAGCAGAAACGGAGGAAGGTTCGGCTTTGTAAGGTTCTTGGACGTGAAGGACAAGAGGGAGTTGGAAAGGCAACTGGACCAAATTTGGGTAGGAGACCGAAAATTATGGGTGAACTACCCACATTATGAAAATTCTCAGAAACAGAAATAGGGACGGGAATACAGAGACAATCAAGGAGCACACCTAAGAACACAGAATAGAAGCTATGCGGAAGCAGTAAAGGGTCAACAAGAAGAAAAGAAAGAAGAGAAGACTAGAACACAGCTGCAGGACAACCATAGTTGGCCTGGGAAGAATAGAAGCAGAAATACTCACCTGGATGGCATCAACGACAATAGGAAAATTTGGACAGAAAAAGGAGTGGGAGAAAAATGGTCGGGAATAGAATACAATACCAACTCAGAAGATGAAAAATGGCTCAAAGGTTGTTATGTGGGGATCGCACACTCCGTCAAAATGGTACGGAACTTGTAGGAAAAATTCTACATGGAAGGATACTTTTGGTGCCACATCCGAGCAATGGGAGGTAAAATGGTGTTACTTGACAGTGATGACAAAGAGGAGTTGAAGGACTTGGTGGAGATGGCTTCAGAGTGGCTAACACAATGGTTTGAAGGTGTTAAACCGTGGACTCTAGACATGGTTGCTACAGAGAGATATGCATGGATTAGATGCCAAGGGGTTCCACTCAATGCATGGGAAATAGATTATTTTGAAAAAATGAGCTGCTCATGGGGGAAATTTATTTGCTTGGATGAGAGCACAAGCAAAAAAAGAAGGTTTGACATTGCGAGATTCTTGATTTTGACTCCGATCATGAATTCCATATCAATTATGAGACAAGTTAAAATTAATGGGTCTCTGTACAACATCAAGTTCACTGAGGAAGAATTCACAAATAATTTTTTCTCCTTGAAAGAAGACTTCATGCCTAACTTCTAGAGTGATTCTGAAGAGCACGAGTCATGGTCTGTTGACAGTGAGGAGGAAGAAGATGTCCAGGAGGCTATAGTAGAGGAAGAACAGGCGAACGAAGAAGATGGTGAAACAGAAAATGAAGATAATGGCGTGGCGAGTGAGGGTGTGATGATCAACAGTAAAATTAGAAATAAAGATGAACAGAAGAAGGAAATGACATCACAAGGGCGGATTGATAGCATTGACCAATTTCAAATTTTGAATGATGAGGGTAGCGTAGGGATAGGGAAGTTGATGCAGAAGCATGGGAAAGCTACAGAGTTAGACGTGGTTGAAGAAGTAAAAGAAGCTCAAGTGGGCCAGTGTGAGCAGATCAATTCGAAGCAGCAGGGGAAGCCCATCATAATAGGTGAAAGCCCAGAGTATGAGCAGTCAACAAACATGGGCCATCCGAACAATATAAGACCAGATAGAAGCCCAAGCCATGGAAAGAGCAGTGGTATCTCTAAAATTAGTTTGATGAAGATTGGAAGCAGCGATGGTGAAGAAGTAGATCTATTTTGGAAAGGGCATGAGATTAATGAGGCTCGGTTGCAAAAATGGATGAAGGACCGAACGGAGACAAAACCAAAGAAGAAAAAGAAGAAAATTAGTTTGTGTAGCACGGTGTACCGAAAATCAGCAAACGTTGGTAGAGGAAAAAACAGCAAGACGCAAATGGAGGGGAGACAAAGCCGGAGTTTATTGCAAGCCCAAATGACAAAATTGCAGATGACTCAATTGGGGATAGTGGGATTCAGAATTGCAACAGATTATTGCAGAAGCAAATGAGAAATCAACTTGCAAAGGAGATTTGGGAGTTGGCAAAGAGGAAGAGATTATGAGTTGTATAGAAGAAATGGAGAGCAGAGATAGACAATCAAAGGCAAGCATGGTGAACCAAGATGCGAGTGACGTAGAGAAGGTAAGAAATACTGCTGATGATATTGCTCTCCTTTAATATCAGGGGGCTTGGTGGGGTTGGGAAAAAAAGACAAATTAGGGAGATCATTAGAAGGGAACGGGTGGAATTTTTATCTGTTCAAGAAACAAAAAAGGAGTTTATTGATAGCAGTGTGTGCAGAAGAATATAGGGTTCGGAGGATTTTGAATGGATATACAAATCGTCAAATGGCATGTCTGGAGGTTTGCTTTGTATATGGAGTCCAAAAATGTTTGAAAAAAAAGAGGTGTTTGAGGGAGATAACTATATAGGTGTGTATGGATTATGGGGAGAGGAACAAACTCTTGTGTATATGGTTAATATTTACTCATCTTGTATATTGGCGGGCAAAAGGGCATTATGGGAGGAATTATTGAACTTGATTAATAGCAGGAAAGGGAATTGGTGTTTGGGGGGAGATTTTAATGCGGTAAGAAGTGTGGAGGAGAGAGCAGGAAGTAATGGGGTGTCCAAATAAATGGTGGAATTTGACAGTTTCATTCATGATGCAGGATTAGTGGATCTGCCATTGACGGGGAAGAAGTATACTTGGTACAATTCCAATGGACTAAACATGAGCAGGATTGACAGATTTTTATTATCGGAAGAATGGCTTATGAAATGGAGTGACATAAGGTAATGGGGGTTAAAGACAACAGTGTCTGACCACTGCCCCATATTACTTAAGGAAGAGAAGGTTGATTGGGGGCCCAAACCATTCAAGTTCTTCGATGCTTGGTTGGAACAACCAGGGTGTGTGGAGATGATCCGAAATGTGTGGAATACAACTGAGATTAAGGGCTGGAAGGGATATAGGCTTAAAGAGAAATTGAAGAAAACAAAGAAAGCTTTAAAGGAGTGGAGTGGTCACTCTATGCCAAAAGTGGACAAAAAAAATAAATGAAGCTGAAATGGAGATAGCTGCATTGGATAGCAAAGGTGAGAATACCCAACTGTCTACAGAGGAGGTGGATAGAAGAAGATGCTGCTTTCTTCAACTCTGGGAGAATTTAAAAATCAGAGAAAGCATGTGGCAACAAAAGTCAAGGAAGATGTGGCTAAAAGAAGGACACGCCAACACCAAATTTTTTCATAGATGTGTGAAGAACAGATGGAGAAAAAATGAAATTATTAGTGTCCAGATTAAGGGCAAAAGGTGTGTGGGAGTGGCTGAAGTAAAGGAGCAGGTTGCTCAATATTTTGGGGAGATGTTTGCAGAAGAAAAATGGCGAAGACCAAAACTTGACGGCATTAAATTCAAACAAATCTCCCAGGCAGACAATGACCTTTTAATGGCACCATTCAACGAGGAGGAAATTAAGAGTGCAGTGTGGGATTGTGACTCCACAAAATCACCAGGACCAAATGGGTTCAATTTTAAATTCATAAAGACCATGTGGGAGGATTTAAAATTAGATGTAGTTGGGTTTATCCAGGAATTCCATGAGCAGGGTAGACTGGTTAGAGGATCAAACTCCTCATTCATTGTGTTGATACTAAAAGTTGAGAACCCTCAAAGAATTGAAGAGTTCAGACCCATCTCACTTATCAGAGTCATGTACAAGATTGTAGCAAAGCTGTTAGCAAATCGTCTTAGAAAAGTGCTGGTCAGGGTGATCGGGGAATAGCAAATGGCTTTCATTGAAGGGAGACAACTGATGGATGGAGTAGTCATAGCAAATGAGGTGAGAAATGAGGCGAAAAAGAAAAAGATGGAAAGCTTTTTATTCAAAGTTGATTTCGAAATAGCATACGGCAAGGTGTGTTGGGAATTCATTGATTACATGCTGTTTAGATTGGGATTTAATATCATTTGGAGGGGATGCATTCAAGAATGCTTACGATCAAGTATGATCTCGATCCTCATCAATGGAAGCCCGACAAGACAATTTCCTGTTGGCAAAGGAATAAGACAAGGTGACCCACTATCTCCTTTCTTGTTCCTAATTGTGGCGGAGGGTCTAAATGGCCTAATGTCTACTGCAGTTGAGAAGGAGTTATACAAGGGAGTGAGGATTGGTAATGGAGCAACAATGGTGTCCCAACTACAATTTGCAGATGATACTACTTTCTTCGGAGAGGCAACCGAAGACAACATAAAGGTGGTTAAATGCATCATGAGAATCTTTGAAATGGCATCAGGATTGAAAATCAACTTTGGGAAGAGTCAACTAATGGGTGTGGAGGTGGATAATGACTGGAAAGACAGAATGGCTTGCATTTTATGCTGCAAAAAGGGAAAATTTCCTTTTAAATACCTGGGAGTTCCAATTGGGGGGAATCATAGAAGGTTAGCAATGTGGTAGCCACTGTTACGATCATTTAGAAGGAAGTTAACTAGTTGGAAAGGATAATATCTCTCTATCAGAGGCCGGATCATGCTCATTAATTCTGTATTGTCTAATCTACCCGTTTTCATGATGTTGATATACCGAATTCCCTCAGGTATTCTCAAATCCATTGATAAAATGCGTAGAAATTTTTTATGGGGGGGAGAAGGGGAGGGAAGGAAAATAAATTGGGTAAGCTGGGAGAGGGTTTGTAAAAATAAAGAGTGGGGCGGGCTCGGGGTGAAGGATATAAGGAGTTTCAATTTAGCATTAATAGGAAAATGGTGGGGACATCTAGCATCCAAGGATGAGGGGTTGTGGAGGAGGGTAATCGAAGGAAAATATAGCGAGGGAAAAGGTAATTGGATGGATTGGGTAAGAGACGGTAGAGGAATGGGTTCATTATGGTGGAGGGATGTATGCAACCTCAATAATAGAGATGGAGAGAATGTAGGATGGCTAGAAGATGGATTTAGATTAAGGATAGGAGAAGGTAAAGGAGTGAGTTTTTGGTGGGATAAGTGGTGTGGGGAGGGATGTCTTGCTAACATATTCCCTAGATTATACCTTTTGTCAACAGGAAAAGACAAAGAATGCTACCAAATGGGTAATACTCAAAATGGTACATGGAAATGGAATCTTTCATGGAGAAGAACCTTGTTCGAGTGGGAAAAAAAGGCCGCTATGAAACTCCAGGGGATACTTGACAACGTGAAGATCACTTCTGGATGCCTTGACAAATGGCAATGGATTCACAGCAGTGATGGTCTCTACTCAACAAAAATGGCTTATGTGAAGTTGACAAAAGAACGGGCGGGATCGAAGGAAGCAAAAATGTCAAAGAGAATATGGAATCCCATGCTTCCGAGCAAGATAGCTGCCTTCAATTGGAGAGTAATACTTGACAGAATTCTTACCAAAGTTAATCTACATAAAAGAGGAGTTATCAAGGACATGGAATAGGCAAAATGTGGTATATACGAGGAGTATGAGGGCATCAACCACCTATTTCTAAATTGCAAATTAAGTAAATGGCTTTGGAAAGCTTGCAGCAAATGGTGGGGGACCACAGTAACATTAAAAGAAGACTGCTGCAACATTTTTGACCAATTCTGGACTGAGATCAAAGACCCACACATAGCAGAGGGTTGGGATTGCATCTAGAATACTGTCATATGGACAGTATGGATGGCAAGAAATCGCAAAATATTCCAGGATACAAAAATTAATATGGGTAAATTGCTAGAACTTATTCAACTGAGATCATTCGCATGGATTAAAGCAAAAAAATCCAGGTGTTACTTTACTTTTTCAGATTGGTTAATTAATCATGCAGCATGTTTGTCTAGCAATAGGGGTGGGATTAATTGAAAAGTGGTCTAAAAGAGGGAACTAACATTGGATGACTGTTATTTTGTATAACTTAATGGGTTGAGTACCCCTTGCACTCAGTTTGATAATATACATATTCTTTGCTGTTCAAAAAAAAAAAAAATATGTGTGTATGAATGTTTGATTACGCTTAATTAAGAGGTATGATGACCATGCATATCTGTTTGCACTAATAATTGTACTTGTTCATTTCTTGGGCTTAATTAGGAATATTAATCTTAACATAGTTTCTTTTTTTAACAACAATGTTATTAATATGAGTACAAGGGATATTCAAACCTATATACAATAAAAAAAAATATCAAGTCTACAATGTCATAAGAACCAAATCTGTATTGAAAACACTCCCACTCCTATAATTGCCTCTATTTCGGTTTCCTTTTAACTACCAGCATGCATAATCTTGGTTCATGAGACCACTCAAAGAAGCTAAAACAACACGCCCCAACATTCCTTTGACCCAATGAAATAATCTCAACTGCACAAGTTCAAATAGCCTTTCCACATCAGTCTGATTTCCTTTAAATAT